CCTCCTCCTCTCCCTCCTCCTCCTCCTCTCTCTCCTTCTCCTCTTCTTCCTCCTCCTCTCTTCCTCTTCTCCTCCTTCTCCTCCTCCTCTTCCTCCTTGTCCTCCCCCTCCTCCGGGTCCGGCCATGTCCCGGTGGCCACACGCTGGGGGAGGACGGGAGCTGCCTGGCCACCAGGCTGGGTGGGGGGCGCCGTGTGTTTCGGGGGCGCCGGGCGGTGTGGGAGGGTCGGGCGGTGTGGGGCGGTCGGGCGGTGTGGGAGGGTCGGGCGGGTCTGGTTTGCAAGCGTCCAGGTCGGTGGCTTCTCTGTTGTTTATTTATGTACTTGTCTTTTTTAAAAAGATTATTTTCATTATGTATACATATATTTTTTGTGATTCATTTGTGATTCTCCAATTTTTTCTTTTAATTTCTTAAATTGTTTTGATTGTTCTTTTACACTTGTGATTCATATTCAGAGCTCTCTGATCTTTTTTCTTTAATTTTTCAGGTCACTTGAATTATTATTATTATTTTTTTTAATTTACGATTCATATTCACAACTCTCCAATCTTTTCTTTTAATCCTTAAATTATTTTAACTATTTCTTTGTTGTTGTTTTATTATTTATGATGCACATCCGGAACTCTCCGATCTTTTTTCTTTAATTCTTCAGGTCATTTAAATTATCATTATTATTTTTTTTTTTATTTACGATTCATATTCACAACTCTCCAATCTTTTAATTCTTAAATTATTTTAACTTTTTTTTTTAAAATTTGATTATTTATGATGCACATTCGGAACTGTCCAATCTTTTTTCTTTAATTTTTCAGGTTATTTAAATTATTATTATTTACGATTCATATTCACAACTCTCCAATCTTTTAATTCTTAAATTATTTTAACTTTTTTTTTTAAAATTTGATTATTTATGATGCACATTCGGAACTGTCCAATCTTTTTTCTTTAATTTTTCAGGTTATTTAAATTATTATTATTATTATTATTTTATTTACGATTCATATTCACAACTCTCCAATCTTTTAATTCTTAAATTATTTTGACTTTTTTAAAAAATTTGATTATTTATGATGCACATCCGGAACTCTCCGATCTTTTTCCTTTAATTCTTCAGGTCGTTTAAATTATTATTATTATTATTTTTTTTATTTACGGTTCATATTCACAAATCTCCAATCTTTTAATTCTTAAATTATATTAACCATTTTTGTTGTTGTTGTTTTATTATTTATGATGCACATCCGGAACTCTCCGATCTTTTTGCTTTAATTGTTTAGGTCATTTAAATTATTATTATTATTATTATTATTATTTCATTTACGATTCATATTCACAACTCTCCAATCTTTCAATTCTCAAATTATTTTAACTATTTTGTTTGTTTGTTTGTTTCATTATTTATGATGCACATCCGGGACTCTCCGGTCTTTTTAATTCTTCAGCTCATTTAAATTATTATCATTATTATTTTTTTTATTTACAGCTCACATTCACAACTCTCCAATCTTTACTTTTAATCCTTAAATTATTTTAACTGTTTTTTTAAATTTGACTATTTATGATGCACATCCGGAACTCTCCGATCTTTTCTCTTTAATTGTTCAGGTCGTTTAAATTATCGTTATTATTATTTTTATTTACGACGTATATCGGGAACCTAGCAGGTGCAGGCCGTCTGGGGGACACGGGCTGGCTTGCTGTCCCCCCCGGGCTCTGCCTCTGTTTCCCCGATCTTGTGGCGGGAACAATAAGTCTCTCCCTGTCCTCCCTCCATGTGGGGGAGCTTGATGGCCCGACCCAGGCCGGGCGAGGTGGCCGGGGGATTTCGGGGGGACCCGGTGGCCACGTTGTCACCGTCCCCCCCCCTGTCCCCTGCAGACCGTGTACCAGAACTACCAACGCATCCGGATCCAGGAGAGCCCGGGCAAGGTGGCAGCCGGACGCCTGCCCCGCTCCAAGGACGCCATCCTGCTGGCCGACCTCGTGGACAGCTGCAAGCCCGGCGACGAGATCGTGAGTCCTGCCGGGGGCGTGGGGACCCGGGGGCCGAGGCCGGGCGACCTCCCTTCTGGGGTCTCTGCGACACACAGGGCGTTGCCCCTTCCTGAGATTTGTCGGTTTGGGGAAGGCCAAGGTTTAATTTTGAGACAGACTCTCGCTCTGTCGCCCGGGCTACAGTGAGCGCCGTGGCGGCGGCCTCGCTCACAGCAGCCTCCAACGTTGAGGCTCAAGCGATCCTCCCGCCTCGGCCTCCCTCCCGAAGAGCCGGGACGACGGGCGTGCGCCACCACGCCCGGCTCGTTTTTGTTTTTTCTGTATGGTTTTAGTCGACCACCTCATTTCTTTCTATTTTTTTTTTTTTTTTACTAGAGACGGGGTCTCGCTCTTGCTCAGGCTGGCCTCCAACTCCTGACCTCGAGCGAGCCTCCTGCCTCGGCCTCCCTCCCGAGTAGCTGGGACGACAGGCATGCGCCACCACGCCCGGCTCGTTTTTTCCCTTTTTCACTTGTTTGGCTAATTTCTTACTATTTTTTTTAGTAGAGACGGGGTCTCGCTCTAGCTCAGGCTGGCCTCCAACTCCTGACCTCGAGCGATCCTCCTGCCTCAGCCTCCTCCAGAGTAGCTGGGACTACAGGCATGCGCCTCCACGCCCGGCTCATTTTTTCCATATATATTATTTGGCCAACTAATTTTTTTCTATTTATAGTACAGACGGGGTCTCGCTCTCGCTCAGGCTGGCCTCCAACTCCTGACCTCGAGCGATCCTCCCGCCTCGGCCTCCCAGAGTGCTGGGATGACAGGCGTGAGCCACCGCACCCGGCCTCTTTTGGTTTTGTTTTTTTTGTGTGTGAGACAGTCTCTCTTTGCCGCCTGGGATAGAGTGAGTGCCGTGGCGTCAGCCTCACTCGGAGCAGCCTCCGACTCCTGGGCTCAAGCGATCCTCCTGCCTCAGCCTCCCTCCCGAGTAGCTGGGACTACGGGCTTCCACCACCATTCGGGCTAATGTTTTCTATACCGTTTTGCGAGTCCAGTTAATTTCTTCCTATCTTTTTTAGTAGAGACAGCTTCACACTCTTGCTCAGGCTGGCCTCCAACTCCTGACCTCGAGCGATCCTCCCTCCTCGGCCTCCCTCCCGAGTAGCTGGGACTCCAGGCATGCGCCACCACGCCCGGCTCATTTTTTTTTTTTCTATATATTTTCAGTCATCCAGCTCATTTCTTTCTATTCTTTCAGTAGAGACAGGGTCTTGCTCTTGAGCTCAGGCCGGCCTCGACCTCCCGACCCCGAGCGATCCTCCCTCCTCGGTCTCCCTCCCGAGTAGCTGGGACTGCAGGCGGGAGCCTCTGTCGCTCCGGGCCTTCCTTTGCTTTTTGCCTAGTCCCCACCGTGCGTGGGAGGCTTGCAGGGGAGGCCCCGGGGGCGGCCCCCGAGCCGGGCCGTGACCTCCCGGCCTCTACCCCCGTCCCAAGGAGCTGACCGGCATCTACCACAACAACTACGACGGCTCGCTCAACACGGCCCACGGCTTCCCCGTCTTCGCCACCGTCATCCTGGCCAACCACGTGGCCAAGAGGGACAACAAGGTGGCCGTCACGGAGCTGACGGACGAGGACGTCAAGATGATCACCGCGCTCTCCAAGGACCCGCAGATCGCGGAGAAGGTGCGGGAAGGGCCGGGGCCTCGCGTGCTGGGGGGGGACTCTCTCTGTCCCTCTTATTTTATTTTATTTTTTTGGAGACCGAGTCCCGCTCTGTCGCCCGGGCTAGAGTGAGTGCCGTGTGGCGTCAGCCTCGCTCACAGCAGCCTCCAACTCCTGGCCTCTAAGCGAGCCTCCCGCCTCGGCCTCCCTCCCGAGTCGCTGGGACGACAGGCATGCACCTCCACGCCCGGCTCGTTTTTTTCTATATATTTTTATTTTTCAAGCTCATTTCTGTCTATTTTTTTAGTAGAGACGGGGTCTCGCTCTTGCTCAGGCTGGCCTCCAACTCCTGGCCTCCAGCGATCCTCCCTCCTCGGCCTCCTAGAGTGCTAGGACTACAGGCATGCACCACTTCGCCTGGCTAAATTTTTTTTTCTATATATTTTTAGTTGTCCAGCTCA